ATGTTTCTGGCGATCGAGACGCTGCTTCAGTTCGTAACAGTGCTTTATAATGTCCCCGAGCTGTTGCTGGCGCTCTATTTTATCGGTAGTTGAACATTGTGAATATAGCTCTTCCACGGCATTCCCAATGCTCGTACTGATATCTTCTAGAGTAGAGCTCGAATCAGAGGCCACTGCTATGCTCATAGCCAGACGCCAGAACTGCCAAGCCTGAGGTGGGCCTACAATTCGGTCAGCATGTTGTAAGTCTTAGGGCCGTTCCAATTGTACTTGCATTCCGATGTTTGTATTTTAATATCGAGATTGAGGAGACAGTGGTTCGGGATAGATTTCTCAAACCCAACCATAAAAGGGGCAAAGATTTTCTCAAAGATACGATCTGCCACTTCTATGTGGATAGATTCCCATGTGTGGCCATCCGTTGGTGGATGTGAATGCTCATAACCGTTAGCGGTGCTGGCCGGTAGACAAGGGCTGAAATTCCTTTTCACCCATTGCTCAATGTCTTGACAAAGCTGACGCATTGTTCGTCTTGCCCCTTTATCAGTAAGAGGATTTGTGAGGATCGATAATACGCGGTCCTCTTTTACCGTCTTTTTTGCTTGTTGGCGATAGCCTTCCAGTAGTTCATCCTGTCGCTGTATTTTGTCCTCGGCCAGACTCCTTGCCCCCCTTTCTTGATCTGCTTGTTGACCGATAGCGTTCATTGTCTGGCTTTTGTATTAAGCATCTTATGAGGTATACCAGAAGTTTTGTTAGCATACCTGTTCGAGAAACTCGAATCCAGATACTAGTTCTTGCATGCCATCGTTTTCTAATATAATGAGCCGCGTCCAACGTGACTGAGAAAGAAGCCAGTTGCATACCAAATGATGTGAGTACCTTCTGTCCCCCCATGTTAGGGAATAGCAATGCCTTGGCTCAAGGAGACTTTTGAGGGTGGAGTAAGTCACCGTTTAAGTGGGACTCGGGAGTTTGTGGTGTCAATTTTTTTAAGGACGGGTTTGGGACTGGAACCTTTGGATGCCACACCGAGTCCGCGTCTCCGACGCCCACTTGGGCTAAGTGCAATTAACAGTTATCTCATCACCAAATAATGGTTATGTCAAGTGATTATCAAGATTTTCTTAGCGTATAGAAAATTGCTAGAAGGGATACGTCAGATTTAGACAGAAGCGTCATAAATCCTGATGAATGTATTGTCGAACATACTTCCAAGACAATTTACATCCTCCACTCCTCTCCTTCGTGATCTTGTCGTTCCTGGCTTCTATCGCTGCTCCGATCTCCCCTGGGACTAGTGATGATCTACAGAAAATTCCACTAACTGTCCAATAATATATGTTACAACCGTGCCAAACCCTTGAAAGGATGTGGCAAGTGTTTCCAAAAGCCAGAGAAATAGCGAGATCACGGAGAGAAAACGAGCGAAGCGAACTCTTGTATTGACAACCCCTATCTATCAAGGCGGCGAGCAACACCTCAGGCGTCCACGTCATCAATGCTTTTATCAGACCCTACGAAGGGTCTATTTAGGACAAATTTCCTTTCTTAATATACTGGCTTGTGAGAACATGGCTGTTTGCGTTGCAGGCTCTTTGCCGGACTTATCTAACAGCTCCCTCGCTCTCAAGCTCGCTCTACTTCCTCGAAACTTGCATCTCCTGCTTTTCCACGGACGTGTGACGTGCCCTCGCTGCTACCTGTCATCTCCTTGTTCTGATTCTCCTCCGATGGGGATTCGCTTTCATTGATGTTCCCTTTTCGTTCGTCTATCTGTTGCATGAAATCACTGAGGTATTGCTTCGGCGTCGTTTTGGCCCACGTGAACTGTGTCGAATATGCTCTTGGGGCGGCAAATATTCCATCAGATTCTTCTAGATCCCGTCCTTTGGTTTCAGGGAAAAAGAAGGAGATGATTGGCAAGTAAGAAAAGCAGATGACGGTATAAACGATGAAATACCGATACCCAATATTTGTAAATGCGGGAGGAGTGATCTCGACAATCAACCAGTTGAAGAGCCACGAGACGGCAGTCGAGACACCACAAATGGCGGCACGCTGTTTGGCCGGTGCGATCTCACTGGCGTATAAAAATGGGAAGATTAAGGATCCAACCGAATATGCCCAATAACAAAGAAAAATAAAGACGACAGCAGCCTTTAGAGCGGTCTTGTTCGACATTCCTAGGTCCACGAAGAGAGCGTAAGAGAGCCCGAGGCCACAGAACATTCCAAACGCCGCGACGTGTTCTCCACGTTTTGACGCCTTAGACAACTTGGACGGCCAGACGGAAACGGTCGTGACAATGCCGCCGGCTCCATCAACAATAAAGACACGAGAGAAAATGAACTGGGCGAACGAGAACGAAGTGTCCCCAATTACTTGAGTACAGGTCGCACAAAAGATCGCCTTTCGCCGTCCGAACACATCCCCAAGAAATGTACAAGCCAACGCGCCAAATGCGCCACACAAGTTGACGATTGGGCACCCACCGCCGCCTGTACACAGTAGATAGACCCCTTCTGGGAGAACACTTAGGCATACCATCATCATCTCCTCTTCTTCTCCTCGTTAACAGGCCCCTGTCGAGAGTCTGCAATCCTCTTTTATGCGATAACAGGACAAACAGAATTTATCTCCTGGCCCAGTTCCGCGATGGAGGACTTTCCCAAGATTCTCTCGCCATCTCTTGCAACAGCAATGATAAAGCGGACATCATTATTCTCAAGAGGGATATGAGTTTCGAAGCCGGTCCGCTCATGCGCCAGCAGGCGCTTGCCTTCTAGCAATGTTGAGGTCTGAGATGGGACCGAGAAAATGGCCCAGTTGTCATAGTCCGTGGCACCGTTCCAGCTCATGTAGAGATCAGTTGTATGCGAAGTTGTGTGATTAACACAGAGAGCAGGATCCCAGTGTGGAGTAGCCCTCCACGGAAATTTGAATATGCGGTAGGCATTAGCCGAAAATGTATCCTTGCCAAACTGCCCTCGGAGCACTACGTTGCCGTCTCCGTCATATTCCTTGAGTTTGGGTATCGATCCGTAGCCCAGCAGCATGTGGGCTTTTTTTGGGTTCGGAAGGAACTGGAAGCTGCCTTGCGTTGCGCTCACGATATGGTTAGTTGGATCTGTCAGCTCGTGGATTCTCCATGCCTCCTTGTTGACGAGGTCGACGTGGATGACTAGTCCTGTTGATGGGCCTGGGTCCCCATGGTCCATGGCAGCGTTGTTGTAGAGACTAAGGACCAGGCTTTCGTCGGTTTCGTTATGAATACGGACATCATGTTGCCATGCAAAGCTAACATTGTCACTCTTGAAGTCGCCGTGGTTATCATTGTCACCCTTTAAAATACCGAGTAAGCGGATGTACCCAACATCTATGAAGCTTAGATATACCCACAGAAAGTTGCCAGCGGACAGAGCCGTCCTTGTTAATATAGAAAACAGAGCGGATATGCCGAAAGTTGACCATATATCCATATTTGGCGGAAGTAACCGAGTTTATATGGTAAGCGTCCCAGGCCTCATGCAACATTTTCCCACCCCTTACGGTAACACTGGACTTGGAAATCGGAATATGCTCGAGTGCATCCCATTTGAACAAGACGTTGTTTGTTTTTATGTCGATTTCGTAGAACAGAGAGTCCAAAACCCACATGTCGGGCGTGCCCCTTCTAAGATGACTAGTATCTGTTTGGGTGAAATTGAGAGCCGAGACTAGCATGGTATTTCGAGGCGTGATGTAATGCTCGTGGCCATCGATATAGGAGTCAAACCTTTTCCCGCTCGGAGTGCGAAAGTCATCGTGCAGAGTGACTGTGTAGATCTCTTTGTATGTGCTGTCGAGGATATGCGTTGCTCCATATCCCAACACTCTTAGATCTGGCTGTGCATCCCAGTATGTGATCACGTCCTGGCCGAATAGCTTTTGCATCTTAAAATCTAGGTTCTCCCCGTGCGGGCCCTGCCACACCATGTCGCCATTGTTGTCAAAGATTGTTGGAGCGGTGCCAGCCTTGTTGGACTTTCGAACGCCTATAAACATGTACCCGGGGTCTGTTTCGCCTGTCGCGCTGAGTGACAGATGGGGGGGCTGCCAATTTCCTGTCTGAAATGATTTATACGGCCAATCCAGTTCCCCAAGAGCCAGCGACAACAGCACATATAGAATGAAAAAAGAACACGCCATGATGAAGTTGACGGATGCCTAAGTCTTTAATCGACAAGGCCAAAGTTTTGTTTCGAAAAAGTTGAGATTACGGATAAGATGTAATGATACCATAGTTCTGAGACCCTCCGATGTGTCCGTGATCTCACCGTTTCCGTCGATGGCATAGATAGTGGATAGCGGACCCGTCCATGGTACGTTATTTATGTGCGATCCTTGTTATGTATCGTGGACAAAGGTTGAAAGAGAGTTCTAGAGCACATATCTTCGCTGCAATGGTCGAACAGTCGGAAGCTGGCCCGGGCCTATAGATATCAGCTGTTGCGGAAAGTGTGTCAAGACGCCTCGCTGCAGAATAATTGTCTTATTTTAGGTTCTGTAGCGTCGCTAAAGGAGGCTATATTACGGTAATAAGCTGCTATAACGAGCCATATAAATAATCCGTCAATATGAGAAGATAAAGAAACAGTCTAGTTCGGAAAAGTGAAACTAAATCGGTCTCTTTGTTCAAAATCACGAAGTCGGGGATCTTTAAACCCCGTTTGGCAAGTGCTGAAGGGGAAGCGGATATGGGCTTTCCAGAATCAATTAGAATTTGGTCTTGGGTCGCAGGATGCCCGAGTGAACAGTTCACAGGCAGTCAGATTGGTGCATGAGGTGGGCATGGTTCCGCAGCTAGATGGATTGGCGGTAACGGCTCGCGCCATCGCCGAAAATCGAGCTGTCGTCATCGATGCCGGAGACCGGCTGACTAACACTTTGAATGAGTTGTAGTTAGATCATGTATATATGATGTTCTATAGTAGTTACACATTCAAAATGATTACCAATCATGGCGAGGGAGTAGGAATCGTCTCCCACCCTTTCTGACCCGGCTGACGGTCCTCGACAATAACCTGAAGGCCACGTCGACCACAAAACCCATCGTTACCCGCAATGCGCTCCACCGTCTGGAAGGAGCCGCCGTTTTCCTGCTTCTCATTTACCACCCACACCGTGTCCTGCACGCTCTGGCCGAGAGTCTCGGTGCGCCGTGGATTATACCACGGGAGACCGACGAGATGGTTGCCCACGGTGTGGATGAAGGAGTAGAGCTTCTCGAAGCGGCGGGTGATAGGTAGCCAGGACAAGGTCCGGCTATCGTAGGCGACGCGGACAAATGGGTTCATGTAGATGCCCGTGTCAATTATTTCGTCGACGTTGGTCTGCGGTTCTTGGATGTCCGCGTGGATGAGGCAGCATTCCGAGCCTTCCCAGAATAGATCACGGCCTGCTCGAAAGCGGACGGGCGATTTTTGTACCATATCTTGTGTCGGAGGAAAGTGGTTCTCCACTGCCTCAGGGCTGTTGGACTTGTTCGTCCCTTGCTGGAAGTACTTGGCGTCAAATGCCACCATTCCACCCCAGCAACTGCGTACCCGCACGGCATCTTTGCCCGCGCGGACATCCTTGCGACTCTCACCACCACCAGTCGTGGCGAACCAGGGGTAGAATGGGAGGCCCATGCTGTAGCCCTGGAGATCGCGCGTGGCGTATGTGTCGTAGAATTTGAAGGGGTTGTCGAAGTCGACGGAGCAAGCCGCCCGGTACTGTGGGATACCATCCTCGTTGGCGTTGGTGGAGAAGAGTAATTGAAGTGTATCGATGGGTTCGAAAAGGATGTCGTTGAGGAAAAGAAGCTTATCATACCGGATCTCCGGTTGCTCATCTAATGGCTTCAACGCCCGATTGCGCACTTGGGCCAAATACTCGATGCGCTTGACTCGTTGGTCGCCGCCGGGGACGGTCACATGGGGCAGAGTGGTTAGGTCCAGATGCGCTTCCGCGACGATGGCTTTGGGGCAGGGAATTTGCTGCTCAAGCTCACGCAATGCATTCTCCCCTTCTTCCCCGCTGTCATTTTCATAGATGCTCACAAACACATTATCCTCCCCTAGCAAGTCGATCAACTGCAGAAGCTGTCGGCCCCATTGGCCACGCGCCAATTCCCCGCCGCGATCATACAAACTTGCCGCAATAAATACCTTTTCGTTTCTTGGGTTTCCTCGCCCGGGGTACGTGGATTCCAGCGTGGTCTTTTTCAGTAACTCGTAATGCGGCGGTGGATCGGTGTAGGAAGGACGGACGATGGAGGTGAGGACAACGAGCGCAAAGATAATGCCAAAGACGACATGGATGTAGCAACAGCGTCGGCCACGACACAGGAGTCGGCGATGGCAGCCTGGGCGTTTGGAGCCCGCGAAGACCGGGCGTGAGTTGGTCTGTAGACGACGATAGCCGGAGTAGGTGGATGAGAAGATGCGAGACCACCAGGGTTGCTGGACGCGAAACCGGGCTCGTGGCGGAGCTTGTGATTCGAAGTCGGCATCATCAAGATTGAATGTCCCCTGAGAGTCGAGAGACGAGCGCGAGCCCAGCTCGTACTCATCCGGGTGCAGCAGACGGGCCGTCATGGCGAGCAGTGCATGTTTTCCGTCTGGTCGCGTCAATAATATTCAATTCCCCGGACAGTTAGAGTTTTATGCCTGAGGTGTCGGCGCACACCGCCCCAAATATGTACTTGGGAAGGTCTCGGGGAGACGCAAGCTACATCGGGCAAGTGAGTGAATAAGTATTGATTCATTGACTTAAATGTGCTCCACCTGTGCACTACACTACCTCCTCCCCGCAGGCGGCTTCTTAGCAAACTCTGGATTCAACGTCCACTTTCCCCGTCCATCCGCCGCACGGCTAAGTGTAGCAACCTTTTTGAGCATCTCCTGGAACTCTGCTATCCGCTGCGGTGTGTTGCAGTAGTGGCTAAACTCATCGATGAGCATCTGCGAGTACACTGGCCCGCGGCGGGAGGCGATGTAGTCCCGGATCATGGCCAGAAAGTCCTTGCCACGCGGCATACGCGTTGGCGCGGGAGAAGAGGAATCGGCAGACCGCACCGAAGCGCGAGGGTTGAGATTGGCAACGAGACTCGCAGACGATGGCCCCGCGCCGGCAGGACGCGCCGAGCTACTGCTCCCGCCGGACCGGTCCCGGCCCGCGATGCCGAATTGGCCGGTCCAAGTGGGCAGACCGATCGGGACGGTGCGAGCGGTCTCGCCCGCTTTCCGGAGCTCTTCGGCGGCTTCGTCGGCGACGCGGCGGGCTTCGGCTTCGATTATTTTCGGATCGGCGCGCACTTTGCGTTTTCCGTTCACGATCTCCTCATGTTCGAGTGCGGCGTGCACGTTCGACCGGGCGAAGATGCCTTGCATGATCCGGTCCTCAGCGTTTTTGACGTTGCCTTCTTTTTCCGGGTCTTCCGAGTCATACTTGAATTCTTCAATGGAGGCGACGCCCTGGACAGTGCTAATATCGTCTTCTTTCCGAGACTCAGAGGGGGGGTTGGGTTGACCCTCACGAGATTTACCGGGTTCGTTCTTTGCTTTTTCACGGTAGGTAACCTGCGCATCTTTGAATAGCTTTGCAGTCTCCAGGTCTTTTTCATGCTCGTCCGAGAGAGTAAACAGGTCGTAGAGATCACTGAGGTTGAAACCTTCCCGAGATTGCGGGTCGCGCGTGATTTTGTTAGTCAAGAATTGCTTGAAGATCTGTCGGTGATAAATTTTCTCCTCAATGGTGCCTTTGGTCATGAGGCGGAAGATTGTGACGTCGCGTTTCTGGCCTAGCCGCCATGCTCGCTCGCGCGCCTGCATGTCAGTAGACGGGTTCCAGTCAGGATCATAAATGATCACCCGGTCGGCGCCAGTCAAGTTGATTCCTATACCTCCGACTTTGGTAGTGAGTAAGAACACATGAACACTAGGATCTGAGTTAAACCGATCGACCATGCTCTGGCGATCCTTGATCGGAGTAGTGCCATCCATTCTGCGGTAATTGAAATCACCCATCCACCGGATGAACTTTTCCAGAATATCTAGCACCTGGCGGGTCTGCGCGAATAACAAAGTCTTGTGTCTGGTGTCACGCCATACTTCTAAGAGACCTTTGAGCACCTGCATCTTGCCTGAGCGCTCGCTATTGCCGTAATCTGCTTCTTTTGATCGTAGCGCGTGGTCTGCTAGGTCCGGGTGGTTGCAGATTTTGCGAAGAAGGTCAATGCCGAAGAGGGCATTTCTCTTGCCTAGATGAATGGACTTCATGTCATCCGATTCTAGGAACCGACGGTAGATGGTTCGCTGCCACTGTGTCAGATTGCAGAAGATGACCTGTTCACTCTTCTGCGGGAGGTCTTTCGCAACATCGGCCTTGAACCGCTGGAGCAGATAAGGACTGATGGCGTCTTTTAGGGTTTCCGCGCACTTGGCAGCGGTCTGGACCTGGAGGTTGCTTGCAGAGGCATATCCGCCCTGGCGAATGGGGATTTCAAACTGGCTCTTAAAGTTCACCAAATTCCCTAGGCGCATCGGAAAGACAAAGTCGAAGAGGGACCACAGATCGACTAAGCTGTTCTGCATAGGTGTTCCTGATAAGATGATGCGGTGAGGGGTGCGAAGCTCTTTACAACTGAAGGTGATACCGGCGTCTGGATTCCGAATTTTGTGGCCCTCGTCGAGTATGGCACATCCCCATTCAACATCAACAAGAACATCTGCATAAGACTGCAAACCAGAATAAGTGGTAACAAGAACGTGCCCTTCCTCAGTGACTCGGTTGATGATTTTTTTCGCAGCCTTTTGGCCCGCAGAGAAATGGCGCGAATGGTAGCCGCCTATCAACTCGGCCGTAAGTGCTTCCTCGCGGGTGGTTTCCTTGCGAAGGTTGACCATACCACTGCCAGACGAGTGTAGAATTGAGACACGGAAAGGTGGCCACCAACGATGAAATTCATTGACCCACTGTTCCATGAGCGTTGCAGGACAAACAACCAGAGCAGGCTTATCGAACATTTTGCTGTGATGCAGTGACGCCAGATAAGCGATGGCCTGGATCGTCTTGCCGAGACCCATCTCATCTCCGATGATTCCTCCCACCTTTTGTTGGTGGAGCTCCCAAAGCCACTGGACGGCAGTTCGTTGGTAGCCAAAGAGGAAACGATTGATATCGCCAGGAATGAGAAGTCCGTTCGTAATCTCCTCATCAGGTATGGTTGGGTGCGGCTTGAGCCATTCCTCGTCGTCCTCATATTCATCTTTAACTGGAGTATCCTTCTGAGCACGCTTGCGGGCGCCGCTGCGTTTGCTGACCCACTTGGTGAGACGAGATTGATAAACGCTTTCATTACCATCATCGACACCGCTGAAGTCCTCCAGCTCTTCACCAGACACGTCCTTTTTACGCTTGCTAATGAGCATGGGCTCGGGGACGGTGTCTGGCATAAAGTCGTCCTCCTCAGACACATCATCAGCATCTTCCGAGGCAACATAGCTTGCGGAAGAATCCGCGCTGGGAGAAGTTGACACACGAGTCCTGTGCCGTTTCTTCGCCTCTGGGCTTGAATCGAGCTTCCGTCGCTTTCCTTCACCCGACACGGTGCTATCAGAACGACTGTCCGCACTAATTTCGTCAAAGCCAAACCCGGGCCGCGCTAGATGAACATGCGATGCGGTAGGTTGGCCCCTTAATTGTTCACGCTCCTCGTCTTCGTCATATTTATCTTCAACATCGATGAGAGCATCGTGTAGGTTGGCAAGCGGCCCATTCTTCGAATCCGCGTTCACAGCGGCGAATGGAGTGATTTTTCCAGTGCGGATGAGGTAGTCACGACGAGACTCGTTCGGCTGCCGTCCCGAGCCGGTGACCGCAGTAGGGTTTTCCTGTTTCTCGCGTCTCTCGTCGATGCGCTTCTGGATTTCCATCACATCCTTGGCCAGGCCATTCTTGCGCGCTTCCAGTCCTCGCAGCTCGTTCTCGATGCGTCGCCGGGTGACAGCGCCAACTGGCTGCTGTAGACGATGCTGCGCCTTCCGCACCTGAGATTCGACTCTCCTAGGGGTTGTATCAGCACAGCTCTCCTGGCCAATATATATAAAGGTGCCCTACGCCTTTTCGTTGAGAGCCTTCTCTAGCCGCTTGGTGTCGTTTTCCTCGGCCCTCTCCGCGAGGGCCTTGTCTGCCTATATTGGGCGTGAGTGCTATGCGTGAGAGCCCATGGATGGTTGGCATACTTGACGAGTGATGTCTCTCTCAAGGTCATCCTGGTCGCGCACGTCCGCCTGAAGCGCCCGAAGGCGACTAGCCTCGTCAGCGCCAACCGAAGACATAGCGGTGGTTTGAGGCTCTGCTCGAGTTCGAGTTCTCACGAAACTAGGAAGACATTTCCGCAATCAGCATGCTATAATTTCCAGTGCGGACCCTATGCCTGCTTACCTCGAGCACGTGTGTGAAGTCAAGGTAGCATGGGGATGAAGGGGAGAAGAAAGGAACGGAGGAAAGGAGAGAGCGCAAACAGGGAATCCCCGAGTGAGTAATAATAATGAGACTCCCACATCTTCCCAAGCAAGAGGCAAATTTGGTGGCAGAATACACTCACCGCCTTTAAGGCCGCTCCGTGAGCCCACAGTGAGTGTCCAGGAGCAAACACTGCGGAAGAACTCACCCGAGGTCTGGGACTACCAGCTTGCCGATCGCATTGTTGCTTCGCACCGCCACGGCTTGTTTAAATCAACAAGTCCTCGAATGTCCGAGTCCGCCTCCCTTCGCCAAATCCACGCCCTAATATAGCGAACATGCCGGGGATACATGCCCACTCCCACCGTCGGCGTTGCCGCTCACGAATCCGTTGTCTCTCGAGGGAACGCGGGGAACCTGGTCCCTTGAACCTGTGTCATCCACATTTCATCTGCCACCATCACACTATCCTGATTGATCATGACTGTTGTTCCGTCCTTTCCTCAACGCCTGTTGTTATAGGGTCGACGGAATGGAACTGTTCGAGCAGTTCCCTTTTCATCACAGATATCGTGATGGCTGGTACGGCCGCCTTTTGTTGGATGATGTCGGTGGATGAGGCCATTCAATCGATCAATCAAAGTTCTATTAACCTGACAGAGCCTAAATACGCCTTCCACATACAATCCTTAAAGAACCTTCAATCAACCTCTGGTTGGCCCATATTGACCAGCTCAGGATGTAGTTCAAAGATCAGTCCCCACTCGACGCTTCCTTTGCCGAGGACACCAAGGGGCCTTGTGGAAATATGCATCTAGAACTAATAGCCCCCATGCCGCTAAATGTATAATTCCAAAGGGCATGTTCGTTCGCGGGAGGGCCCAGAAAAACCCCATTGAAATGCTATATTTATCCACTCTTGAGCGAGCCTTATATGGTCAGAGACTTCGAATTTTTAAAAGAAGAAACTCATACTGAAGGAATGTCGGGGGAAGTTTGAGCTATTATTTTCACCACGAGCAATAATTTTCACCCAATGGGAGTGTGTATCTACTCTAAGGGACGTTTTGGGGTCGGATCTTTCCGATCAGTATATTGGCCGCGGTTCGCGGAGTCCCGGAAGTGAAGCGGGACACGGTGCGATGCCGGACAGTTGAGTAGAGCCTGTCGGGCCACAGCCTCCGCTTCCTGCTTCACCGGACAGAATTCACGGTTCTGTGGAGGTAAAAATCGAGGCAGTATCGGAGAACGGAAGTGAGATCCGTATTGATCATAGATAATGCGTCGTTTCGCCATATCTCCTTTGAATAATCCAATCTTTTCTGAATTCTCCGCGGCTTGTGGCGGCCGGCGCTAACGGGGTATCTCGTCTACCCCATCCATCGCCTTCATGAAAGCCAGCCCTATGCTTAGAGCGCCAATTGAGGCATTGCACGATGTAACCTCGAGGGTAACCTTAAATTGATCATCGCCTTTATGGGGAGACAGGGGGAGACTGAACGCTTTAGAGAGTCCATGGGTCTGTGCCTCGCCCCACTTACTTTGCTAGCCGCAACTGAGTTGGAGCGGGGTATGGCGCTGTTAGGCAGGTTTTCGACTTAATTAGGAACGCTGTTGTGGGGATCGAGAGCAACCAAGCTGTCAACGCAGCATTACCCCGCTCGACCCTGTGCCTGGATCGGCTAGTAATGTAGCATAGCTTCTTTGGACACGATAAGAGCATATCGTAAATGGCTTTCATCAGCCAGGACTTCCGCTTGAAAGCAAGCATTAAACATCTCCAGTGCGCCCACCTACCAGGACGCAATGGTTCTACTAGGCCGTCTTTGCGTGCTCGCTGTAGCTGCTTGTTTGACAACTTTTGCCAGGGCCGAGTCTGTGGACGGCATCAGAGGCCTCGCTAATCGGATTCTCAACGGACACGGCGATGCCTTTGATTTTGTATTGACTACGCAGAATGAGCCGTGGTCTCGCTGGAAGATCCCCGACAATGACAACTACACTGTCAAATCCTATGACAATGGCAAGATTCGCATAGAAGGCACTACGCTCAGCGCGCTGTCTAGAGGGTACGTCCTTCTCTATGATAGCGGCTTTTCGACCCGTTTGAACGTGTCAACTGACTCAATTCATAGCCTTCGTCACTATATGACCGATACGCTTCAACTTGACGACTACTGGTTCGTTGAACGCTACAAACAAGTCCCAGAGTCGCTACCTTGGCCCAAACATACCTTGGAAGGCGCCAGCATCGTGCCGTGGAGATATAATCTCAACACGGGTAAGCGTTACCATATCTGCTACAGGATGGCAGCAAGTTCCTCCGCTGACAGGAGGTACAGTGACCTTTTCATATACTTTTGCTTGGTATAGTTGGGATGACTGGGAGAAACTGCTCGACTGGGCCGCTCTCAGAGGCATAAATCTACACCTCGCGTGGGTCGGCTACGAAAAGGTGTTTCTCGAGAGCTTCCGCGACATGGGCATGACAGATGACGAGGTCATCCCTTTCTTCAGCGGGCCTGCCTTTCAAGCCTGGAACCGCTTTGGTAACATCCAGGGATCCTGGGGGGCGCTGGCAACCTATCGCTCTCCTGGATCGAATCGCAGTTTGATCTCCAGAAGAAGATTGTGGCGCGGATGGTCGAGCTTGGCATCACCCCAATCCTGCCGGCTTTTACTGGATTTGTCCCAGAAGCATTTAAAAGAGTGCGTCCCCAGGCCAATGTGACACAAGCGTCGAACTGGGGCGTTCCCAATGCCTACACCCGAGACACGTTCCTCAGCCCACTCGACGATGCCTTTACAGAGCTGCAGCACATGTTCATCACAAAGCAGATGGACGCGTTCGGCAACATTACCAACATATACACCCTGGACCAGTATAACGAGATGTCTCCTGCCTCTGGAGATGTCAATTATTTGTCTGGCGTCTCTACTAGTACCTACAAGGCCCTATCTGCAGCAAACCCTGCAGCGATTTGGCTTCTCCAGGGCTGGCTGTTCTACAACGAGCAATCTTTCTGGACCCAAGAGCGGATAGACGCATATCTCAGTGGAGCTGAGGGAAGAGATAGCATGCTCATACTCGACCTTTATTCTGAAAACCAGCCGCAGTGGCAGCGCACCAACAGCTACTCTGGCCGTCCTTGGATATGGTGCGAGCTGCACGACTTTGGCGGCAACATGGGCTTGTTTGGCCAAATCACCAACATTACAGTCAATTCAGTGGAGGCGCTACAGGACTCGGACTCATTGGTAGGCTTTGGGCTAACTCCAGAAGGCTACGAGGGGAACGAAGTAATGTAGGACCTGCTCCTTGACCAGGCTTGGTCGTCGACATCGATCGACACGAAGCAGTATTTCCGCGAATGGACCACCCTCCGGTATGCTGGTGCATTGGCTATTCCGACATCTCTATACGATGCTTTGGAAATACTACGAGCAACTGTCTACGATGTGGCTGATCCCGACGTGCCCTGCGTCGGCGTGGGACTTTTCCAGATATTCCCAGGTCTGACCGGTCTTCTCAATCGCACAGGTCACTTCCCTGCTCCTACAGCCATCCCGTACGATCCGAAGGCTCTGGTGAAAGCGTGGAGCCTGATGTTTGAAGCTGCGAAGAAGGAACTCTCGCTGTGGCAAGTCCCAGCATTCCAGCTTGATTTCGTCGACGTGACACGACAGGTGATGAGTAACGCCTTTATTGACATCTATTCCGATCTTGTTCAGACGTACAACAACACCATGTCGGGATTCGCGGAGCCGAACAAGAAGGCCTTCTCGTCTCAAGTTCGGAACGTCGTGTCTGAGAAGGGCAAAAGGTTGCTCGAATTCCTTTCTGCCATTGATCTGGTTCTCTCGACAAACAGCCACTTTACTTTGGACCATTGGCTAAGCGCAGCGCAATACTGGGCCAATGCTATCGGGTCAGATAACCTGATTGCTTTTAACGCGCGTAGTCAGGTGACAGTTTGGCAGATTGACTCGCCATCACTAGACGATTACGCGGCAAAGGAGTGGTCTGGCCTGACCCAGTCATATTACCGCGAGAGATGGGCCATCTTTGTTGACGCCCTTGAGAAGGCTACTAGGACGGGCTCCCTCAACGAGACTGCCATGAACGCCGATATCTCGGCATTTGAGAAGTCGTGGCAGTACGAAGGCTTCAGCACTAGTGGCCAGTCGAGGCTTCCTGTGGCTCACTTGGAAGACATCGTGCATAAAGTCCAAAGAGACTGGCCAGCTGTATTTTCTGTAAAGGACCGGGTGAATATATAGATTAGACAATACTAGATGATTACTATGCTCACAAACCTGTCACAGCATAGTTAATGTATAAGGATTGGCATACGCTATGAGGGAAAATCGGTGGGAACCAACCATACGTCAACCCTCGCTACTGTTCACAATCTCGGCACCCTATACAAAGTTCAAGGCAAACTAGATCAGGCGGAGAAGATGTATACGTGCGCACTGGCTGAATATAAGAAAGAGCTGGGGCCAGACCATACGTCAACTCTTCGCACTGTTATCAATCTCTATAAAAAGACCAAGGCAAGCTTTGGTATAGATCTCTCGCTTGGTTGGCTCTTTCGACTTCTTTGACGATCCTGCTTGACATCCGGACCTCCGAGTCGCTATCGCTCGTGCCTGCCTTGTTCCGTCGGGAGGAAGCCTTTGATCTGGCCTTCTTGGTGGGCACTCTTTTAGGTGTGCATGAATTGAGTTGTTCAGTGGAACGAAATGGCTGGGTTCCTCGTCTTCCGCATCCTTGGCATGTCGCTGTTCTTGACCCTTAGACAGGGGCTGGTCCTTGGATTGCTGGATTTGAGCTCGGTCGCTTAGCTGTGCTGCCATTATATGGCAGCTGGCTGCGACCTCCAATCCGCTCGACGACGCCTTTGTCGTTTTTTGAGCGCTTTTCCTCTTCCTCTGACTGGATTACAGACTAGTCATGCTTCGAGTTGCAGTTTCTTGCGATTGCTCCCGTTGCTGGAGCATGCGGCGGACACTGAGTCGCTACCCTTAGTGCTGGATCCACTTGCGGTGATCCCACGAGCTGGTAGTAGATGGCTGTAGCGATGGTGACGGCAGGTTGATAGAGAGAGAGGAAAACAGGCAGGCTAAATACGGAAGTGCGGCAAACAGTGCAATGTAGAGAGAAGTGGGTGTATGTCAAATTCTGCCACCGCCTCCCCTTCCCAGTAGTGCCAGTCGGGCGTCTGTATCCTAGTTTTATCATCCATCTTCCTTAAGAATTGACATCATTCATTTCCACTACTTCCTGATCAGGAGTACGGTTTCTACATCCGACAAGTCCTTGCCAGCCCGCTCCCAATACGGCTGCCAGCAGTGAAGTCTTCTGTTCGATTAGTTTCGTCCCATTACAGCATTTCGTCCCAGTTTGGGCCTGTGGGTTGTAGTCCACCAATCCGCAGCAATCCGCGTGATCCTGTGGGTCGGATTGCGGCAACATAATCACGTGATTCGAGCCTCTGTGTGCTTCACAGATGCCAATTTTATTGCTCTTTTTTACCTAAATCATCCTCTCTTATATCGAAAGAATCTGTATAATTTATGTCAACGTGCAGCCTTCTGCATGTAATCCATCCTCAAAAAGTATAGCTGCTGATGAAGGTGAGTGGGTGCCTGAGGTGTCAGCGCCCACCGCCGTTGTAGGTAGACCTTCCCTTCTGGGAATCTAGGAATACCATCATCATCTCTCTCCGCTTCTTCTTCTGCTCTTCCTAGTGATCCCCGATTCCAGGTCTTTGCCATGCCGGTCTCTGACTACCCCTGAGCCACGACCGCCATCAGCTGCGTTACACTCTGTAGGTCTGTATTGCGAAAGCTCAAATGGATTGTGTGGAAGCCTTGCCTAGAACCCTTGATTAGCTCGACAAGAGAGGTTAATCGTTGAAATAATTATATCATAGACGAGGCGCCGGTAGAAGAGTTGGGCCGAGAATAGGAGATCATAGGGTCGACATGTTGTCGTAATTAATAGTATAGCCGTTCTAGTAGAAAGTTGATGTGCCACAGATGCCGACTGCCATTAGACCTGCGTAGTTGGATTCTAGAATTCTGGTTCTCTAGCATTAATTGCGCCCCTAGCCACAATCCTCAAATAGCTAGCTTTTTATTAACTTACCGAATGCAATGACTGGCATCCGAATCAAAGTAACTCGAAGGCGATGTGCCCCCACTGCAATCCTCAACGTCGTCGGTATGAAGGATACACGAAGGAATGGTGGTAAGACCGACGCCGGGAATAGTTTCGACTTCGCTTTGGCCTTCCTTGAATTATCACATGCATATGTTCTATGTTCCATCAATTAGAGTCTGAAGAGAACGCCACATTCTATAAAAGCTAGGGGTAGATGTGGTAGATATGTTAGAAACTTTAGAAAAGTCACAAAACATTCTCACTTTATTAACTCGTATTGTCACATACAGCTGTGAGAGCCACACATATAATGGTCCCCCGTCTTCCATATTTATTTACAACTGAGCACGCACGCAAAGCGACTTCCACTTGACCATCCAACATGCACATACCCACTTTCTTACCTCGGTGCACTGCCTTTTTGTCCTTCATTCTCAGCATCGAGGTTCAAGTAGCCGCTTTATCCAACCATGGCCCTACAAACTTTGGCGAGAACGTCACCGACATCTACCAGTTCCAAAGCAATGGTTCCTTTGTAGACAATATTGCCTTTCGACCAGATGGAACTCTTCTAGCTACTCGAATTGACGTCCCCGAAATTTGGTCTGTTGATCTGCGCACAGGCGCTGGATCTCTCGTCTACAAATTCAGCCGCGATAGCCCCAACATCACCAGCTGCTTCGGCATTACTGAGATCGACCATGACGTTTTCGCCGTAATAGCGGGGCAATTTGATGTGAACAAGTTCGCTGCAACTCCAGGTTCATTTAGTGTCTGGAAACTAGATTTCACAGTCCAGCACAACGACCATTGCGATACTTTTTTTGATTGGCAAACGAAAAGGAATGAGGGAGAGAAGCAAGAGACCAGTCCCACCGTTTCCAAATTGGTTGACATCCCTGAAGCCAAGGCCCTAGGTGCCTCAACCCTTCTCAAAAGCAGAGACTCCCGGTTTCTACTTATCTCTGACAGCTCAGAAGGAATGATTTGGAGGCTTGATCTCGAAACAGGAGAATACAACCCTACTTTATCTGACGGATCCATGCTTCCTGCTCAGAATGGACCAGCTATGGGGGTGAATGGGATTCAAGTACATGATGGATATCTTTACTACGCAAGTGTCACCAAGAGAGAGTTTCGCCGGGTACAGATTGACGATACTGCGAGCGCAATTGGGCCTTACGAGCTAATACTGGGTGACATTACGCTTGATAATTTTGATTTGGCTATCGACGGAACTGTGTACTTTGCGACCAACACGGAGAACATGATAGTGAAGCTCACGGCTCAAGGAGAAATTGTTCAGGTTGCTGGAGGCAAGAATTCGACGGCTCTAGCTGGTCCAACTTGTTGTCGGCTGCATCCAAGTGGAAATATATTAGTTGTGGGCACCAATGGCGGGATAACTGCTCCTGTGAACAATGGGTTTGAGGAGCCTGGAAAGTTGGCTACGATTCGAATTTGACTGCTTCTAAGGTGCAAATTAGTATGACACCTGTTCATAAGGGCCCCTGAACCCTTTGGTTATATTTCAATAAATCGCATGTGCCTGTTAAAAATTTGGTATACCTCCGATACAGTTTCTCCTGGAGGAAGTTGTTTGATATTGGATGATAGCTTGGCCGGTGGATAGATGGCACGAGACATTGCCTTGACTAACTCTGTACTCTGGGAGCCGATCGCTCCCAAAGTGATAGTGTGGAAAAAACCCCCTCTCTCTTTTCTGACCGCCTACTGTCTGCGACCTATATTCTGCCGCTCTAAAACCTCCACAAAATAATCAAATTAAACTAATACCCATTAGAATCCATAATAGCCTGTACACGACGCGGCATGCTCTCTCAGAGGATATCTAAATAGTAAAATCAAGATCTTGCCATGCCTGCTCTGCGATACCAACTGGACTATCGAAAGTTTCGTCGTTATTTGGCATATGCAGAAGATCAGGTCGAATCTAATAAATCTGTCAAAGATTGGAATTCCTACAGGTCACATACAGGTTTTACCTCTCACCGCCTATTTCCTAGTTTGTATTAGTCTATTGTTAGTTAGTTCGCCCCCTAAATTGTCGGGCATCCCTGGATTTATTCTAATCAGAGATTAATTCATTCGTGAATTGCACTTCCGTTTTAGTACGTCGTACGGTCTAGATTTTGACAAAATCTTCTGTTTTAATAGCATCCATAGGTTCTAATTGGATTAAGATCAGGCGAATAAGAGGGGCATATCATGATCTCCCGCCCAGAGAAGCGACATAGTCTCGGACGATATGCGCAGTGTGGGATGGAGCATTTTCTCGTTGAAAAATCAATCTCGGATCAGCGAGCAACGTTAGGAGGATACGGCGGTATAAATCACGGATGACGATGCGATTAATGCCCCCTTGGGCTGTTTTTGGATCCTCATAGAGCGGAATAAGTCCAATTCGTAGAGTTGAGCCTGAAAATGAAGCCCAAAACATCTGCTTAACTTGGTAGCCCCTATACGGAGTAGGTTGTACTTCGCCTTGAGTTGCTTAGTCTTTCGGACGGATAAAAGACCATTCTGGTCAAAGTTTAATAGCACGCTCGACCGTACATTCGTCAGACTGAAACACACGGTCAAAATCCTCTTTCCTATAGCCTCTATAAGCATCCGCCTAAGCGAGATGTTGAGCGGCATACTTAGGTATAAGATATGGTCTTTGCATAACCCGCTACTTCCGGAGACCCTCAACGGAGAGAAGACGAGCAATTGTCTTTTTCACACTTATGACTAACTTCAGAAAGTAGGTCATTATATGAGACTCCGGGCTCTTCGTGGATCTTTTGGAGGATCTTTTGACGGTCATTCTCATCGAGGACATTCGGACGCCCTGACCGCTTTAAAGACTCTTCTTATGTCGAATATGCGATCGTAGAGACATGTCATTTTGATAGGTGAGGGTGGGAGATCAGGGAACTTCTTATGGATCGTTCTATATGACCAACCTGCGGTCTCTTTTAACGTAGTGATTTGTGTTCGAAGATTGACGTCTAATTCACAATACCGACGTCTTGGGGCACGTTCTAGGGGTACAAGAGGTGGCTGAGGGGCAGTAGGGAGAGGAAGTGGCCGTGCTCGAGGTAAGATCGCACGCGAGGCATAGCTAATTAATGATAATAATCATAATAACCTAAACACTACCATTCGCGACGCGTTCTACAAGTCTAATTTGGGAAAGCGGTATAGGCGGTGAAAAGGGCGGTCAGAAAGGGAAAAGAGGGGGGGTGTTCACAGACTTTTGCGGCGCCACTGTATATTACGAATCCAATGCGCCATGGCAAGGACCTGAACGTGGAGATCACTGGACAGGGAGAGAGGAAGAAGGGGAAAAGATGATGAAATTCGTAAGTGTGATCTCGCAAAGGGAAGGTCTATCTACAGGCGGCGGTGTGTGCCGACACCTCAGGCACCCATCTCATCAGTATGTCATATCACCAGGCAGAAACGGGGGTTTTCCTAAATCAGTCCATCAATATACTGTGTAGAGCTGATTTTATACTAGGTCATGTCAACACGCAATTCTCTTCAAATAGGGATGAAATTAAATACGAGCGCTTACAGCGCACGAGTCGTGACCCATGCAGCCGGGCCGTGCACACATTCATAGTCATGTGCCTTACAACTCAGCGAGAGTGCAGTAGGGTGCGCCACTGGCTAGCGTAACCTGTTTAACGGACGATCAGGTTCATCCACTAAAAGGGGTTCATTACCAAAAAAACGCCACGAAACCTTAGGAGAACTCAAAGATATTTAATGTGAACCGTGACAGAACCCAGGTGAGATTGCCCCCTTAGCCATCAAAAGTTGAGTCTGAAAGTGCACCCAAATCCATTATAAGGATTTGCACTAGTATTACCGTGGTCCGCGGAATGGCAGTCCGAAATTTGAAATCCTGCTTACCACGGCAGGCGGAGCCAGTTTGTCGGAATATGGTCGACAAAATCACTGACACCCTGCACGCAAGGCAGGGCTATTAAGCAATTTGTTTCCACCAAGCGGTGACCCCTATTGCTCATACGCATATGAGCCTAGGCTTGGTTTCTCTGGCCCTCCTCTGCCAGTCAAAATAGTAAGACTTGACACATATCGGCATATGTCATATGTATGCAAGACGGGCGTTCATCCGATACAGAATATCCCCAAGCCTCAATTTCTGAGTGACACAAAAAACCATTTCAATCGTTGTATATACGGGGAACTAGCTCACTCCGGTATAGCTTGGTGGCGTTGAGATGATCCTAAATGGCCCCGACTTCTTAGCGTGACGCATGTTGCCCATTTCGGGTGTATGAATCAGAACTGTGGATACTTCCAATCCAAAAAGGGTTTGACCTGACCTCGAGCTGCCACTATAAGCTCTGGAATTTTCTCTCACTTTTTGTTCTACACGAACTGTCAGTGCGCACCATCACATGCCCCTGCGCTGACATTGCAGATCTCATTATCGGTCGCGCGAACGAGACCAGGTCGAAAACGATCGATCCAGCGCCCGATGCTACGATGGTTCGTTCTAATCTATCTCAGGGCTGCGAACCTTAGTAGCGGAGATTGAACGGCTCTTGGCCCTGGATCTGCCTCCCATGTCTCTACGAACCTCCTTCGAAAGATGGAAAATAATTTTTGGGATATCGGCCTCTGCCACGACTCCTGCTTTGATATACCATGCAGCGTATCTGCACTCCTCAAGTGCCCCGCTATTAGGTTCGAACGCAAGAGTTGGCCACACCCCACTCCCTCCAAAAATGGTACCTTTGTCGCCGAGTCGTTCAATTCGTCCGAGTCTAGCTTCTTTACTGGACTCTTGTCTTTCGCCGATCAGTGATTCTTGAAAAGATAAGCGAAATTAACGAAAATAAGAGTAACACCAATAGTCATGGATTTCCAGTAACCAGTTGCTTCTCACGTAAAATGAGCATCAGTCGGCATTAGATCAACAGCACCACAAACCCCTTGAGACCAGCGGCACCGAGTGAGGAGTCTGGCTTCCCGAATCACCGTTTGGGCCGTTTAATGTCAATGTCAGCAATACGGCACCAGGATGCAAGGATCAGGATCATCGGCCCACTATTTTGCTCAATCCTCAACCAATCACTAATTTCTCTTTATATATGCATGTTTCCGCTCGGACAGTATAGATCGGCACTTGGGAAGTTACCCCAGCCATTGAAACGCGGCATGGTATGACCGGAAGAAACCTGACGATTTTAACCCAAGAGCTATCACGGATAGCAGAAAGCATTGGGGCGCACGTACAGTGATGTTCCAATCTTTCCTTTACGCTTGCTTAGTAAGCCCTGGACTTTCCTAGGGCCAACCTACTATTTTCTTCTTCCTGACACCATTCAGCTCAGCAAATTTTCCATATCCGAATTCGTCCCGTCCGTGCGCCACCATAGAAACACATACAAATGTGGGGAGCCCCTGAGGCACACTGTTGTAGAACTTCAACATTCAGCTCGCAAGCCACCATACAAGCTATCGGTGACAAGTCCTCCGCTGGCTGGATTATTACGAGCGCCACTGGCGGCGAGATGATTGGCAACGTCGAAGGAGTTCGTCTGCACGGGGCATCCATAAATTAACACATTTCAATCCGTTACATCCCGCACTAGGCGAACCCATCGCACGCTAGCAAACACGCGATTGTGTTTCCGTAGCGGCCGTTTTCCTAGTTATAGGCCTGCATGATCCGAGGATATGGAGAACACCGGCCGGACCTATTCCATACACGAAGTAACCTAGATTTGTCCTTATATTAGAGGTAGTACTTTTGTTGTTAACTCCATAGGTGGATTGTGCCCTGTCAGTAAGTGGACCTCTCCACGCTGTTGGCAGGATTGGAAGCGCTAGTGAGCGTGCCACACCTGGCAAGGAATGGCGATAAACGACCCTTTCTACCAAGCGAACATCTTTTGGGCTTTCAGGTAACCCTTGCTAACTATGCAGGATACGGCAGTCAGCCTTACATCCCCGACTCCCAATCCCGGTCTTGCACCATGTCAACTCTCTTGTTGAAACTCCAGCTGGCACAAGGGACAGCCCTCGAATCATACAAAAAGAAACAAATCGCAAAAGAAACGTGGGGCAGAGCAGTGGCAATGAGCGATCTTCGCAATTTGCCCATACAAGCCATTGCTATCTGGCATGATACTCTCGGGTCATTCCTCTGCAGGGGTATGAAACCGCTTGCACTTCGCACTCAGTAAAGGTGGGTGACAGCGGGCCAAGACCGGCTGCCTCATTTCTGATACCACCCGGAGCTCACTCTAATAATAACCGGAATGAGTGATCAACGCTACAAAACCGAGTCGTCATGCTCGAATGATGGCGCATGGACACGGCCAGTATAGCCAAGGCGGGCTACAGGATTTCAAAGTGCCAAGGCGACGACGGTCAATGCTCGACTTGGCGATGTCCAAACCCTTACAAACCATAAGCAAGGGAGCGCTTTGTGTTGTACCTTTGCTCCCATCCGACCTTGAGGATCAAAACCTCCTGCTGTTCTCGTTTGCCTTGGACAGCAACCAATAATGGATGGCATATATTTTCCCCCGCCCTTTCACGATGATTCTTTCGAGTTCTTCGCCGTCGAATCCGCTTCTAGCCAGCCGGCCACAAGGCACCGGGAGCTTCCGGTTGGTTTTCGGGCCTATGAAAACCTGAGTACAGCCAGCGGAGACACGGGCCGCCTCAACACCAATGGACCGTCAAACAAGAAAGTTCCTATCCCCCAAGTTTCATCGCACTATCACTTTACCAGAGGTGGCCGGGTCAGCCGAGCGTGTGGAAACTGTCGCGAGCAGAAAGCCAAATGTAGCGGACACCAACCAGCTTGCCATCGATGCCAAAACGCCGGCATACAGTGCTCCTACGGCGACCGGAAGCGTGAGAGAGTAAACAAGTATGTTTCGTGCCATGAACTGTGGCTTTGCTCACACCGCACAGGCAAATAGCCGATCTGACCAGCAGAGTACAAGTATATGAGACTCTGCTGCTCACCCTCTATCCTCGACTTGACCCTCCATCTGCTCAGCATGTCGATAAAACTTTGCACATGGTAAGGATCTCCAAATCTCTCATCCTTTCATACATTGACAACATCCAGCTTTCCAGTCAACAGACACCGTGTGGCCCTCAGGCCGCAGACAGGCCGGTCCCTTTGCTCAGGACTTTGGCCTTCGGCGAAGAAGACTTAAGCCACAACAAGATCGTGCAGTCGATTGGGATCATTGGCCAGCTGTCAGGGATGGCCTGGCTGTACCGACTCAAACGTCATCTCCACCAGGACAGTTCAAAGTCTACAAGGGACCAACCGGACTGGCTTTCCATCTCCTCTGTGAATTATTTCCTGGATGATACTGAATTTTCTGTGTCAGATAATGTGGATCTCTCCTGGTGGCCCCCACAGCCCACTGCTGATCAGCTCGTCCATCTCTATTTCCAAACTGTACATCCTGCCTTCCCTATTATTGGGAGGCCAGTTTTCCTGGACCAATACCAAAGGTTTTATTCGAGCCCAAAGGCGCGACCTGGAAACCGATGGCTGAGTTTGCTGAACCTCATTTTTGCAATCGCTGCAAGGCACTCAACAATGGTGAACTGTCAGATTCCTTGCGGCAACAATGACGAGTCGGTGTATTTTTCAAGGGCATGGCTACTTAGTACAGGTAGTGCTGCGCCGATGGACCATCCGGACTTGCAGCAGGTACAAATTGAAGGTCTAACCGCCATGTACCTTCTCTCTGTGGGGCATGTGAGCCGGTGGGTTACCCTTGTACTTCGTTATGGATATTGTGCCTAACGTGAATGTGGATTCATTCTAGATCATGGCGAGCTATTGGTAATGCGATCCGATCGGCTATCACGATGGGTCTTAATTTCCCAATTAGCACCTCCCGTATTAGTCAACAATCAAAGGAGACCAGGTACCGACTATGGTGGGCTCTCTTCGTGTTAGAGACAGATCTATGCGTGATGACTGGACGTCCGCCTAGCACGAATATGATCGACTGTGCAACACCACTTCCAGCCCCCTTTCAAGAAGATAACTTGGATAATGATAGTGTTGCAAAACTTTTGGTGAACCCAGAAGCTCGGAATACTATTATAAATTCTATTCTATCAAATGGTTGGAGGGTTCCCTTGGGGGCGGACATTGCGATCTCTATGCATTTGAAACAGCCGAAACTAAGCGAAAAAAAGCAAGTCGAAGCGATTGAGCAGGAGCTAGCTGAAACTCCTCCACCTAACACTTCCCTCTACTTCTTATTCTTGGTGGATTTGACGTTCATTATGCGAGAAGCAATTGCTACCTTGTATGCCCCAGCCGCAGCTCAACGATCATGGCACAATATGGAAACAGCCGCCACTGCCCTCTCTGAGAAGGCCGACCGTTTCCTTTCCCGTCTACCATCGGAGTTACAATTCACGAATATTTGTCTAAGCCAACCTTTCATACGTCAACGTTTCAGCCTGGCTTTCTACTTCTACTCTACTAAACTCATCATTTCTCATCCTTGCTTCTGCCGCATGGCCTACTCGCCACCAAACACGGGACCTCTCAGTCCCATATGCAGTAACCTAGCCACCCAATGTGTTGATGTGGCGGGCCAAATGCTCAACGTTCTCCCTGACTCGCTGGACATAATTCATCTATATGGCTTTCCCCCGTGGTGGGATGTTTTCCATCGTGTGATGCAGTCCAAGGTCGTTCTTCTGGTTCACTTGTGTACCCATAACCAGTTAGACAGTGATGAGATCAAGAAAATTTCGGAGACTGTCAATAAGGCTGCGCGGTGGCTGAAGAAAATGTCTTCACATGATCCATCATCGAGTCGATCTTTACATGCCTGTAAAGACCTGGTGTCCCGGCACGATCCGAAACTCGGGCTGGGACTTGATCTTGATGACTGACTACCAGTCTCTTGTGGCTTGGGAGGACGCACGTTCTCCGGATTCTGAATGGCTAATTGTTGAGACATCCGATTTCTCGGAAATGGAGATATCATTGACGGCATTGACTATCGGATCACCGAATTGCTGATCTGGCTTAGTGATAGATTATCATGATATATGGAGTAAAATCCTCCAGTGGAATTGAGAATCAAGGCGACAAAGGCTACGCATTTTGGGTAACGATCGTGATAGATCGAATGCTTTATACATGTTTTCTGGGCGCAGTAATTCCGGAGCCTACTGATATCGTTCACTTTGTTCCGCTGTCTTACGAATCAACTGTTTATTGTCTTGAAACGCCACCCTTGCGCTATGCTGGAGATACTGTAGTTGGAGAATGACACAAACCTATGTCGCAAAGTCTACGAAGAACGCTGGAGAACAATATTTGAGCCCGACCGGAGGACCATGGGGTCGCATGGAACGTACTCTTCACGCCCTCAATTCCGGCGACAATCAAGAATGCTGTGTAAAACCCTAAGCCGTCTATTTTCTTAACTACCTCTTGAACCTGGAGCAGACGTTAATGAGAAAGAACACCACTGACTGACCGCGCTGCATTTGGAACACAGTGGAGACAAGAATGCGCATTCGTCCTACCATTCAAGCAAAATAATATTGATGTACAAGTGCAGGACGTTTAGCGAATAACTGTTCTGTACACGGCCACGAGGGTGCGCTGAGGTCGATTGACTTCTAATTGATGGACGACTCAATCTTAACTGCAAATAAAAGCATGGGAATACCCCGCTTTGGTGGGCCACTCGGAACTGTTCAACCATCGTCACAAAGCGGCTACTGGCGGAGCAAGCGTTGTGTACGCCGCCTCTCGGCACCACACAGGAATAGTAGGCCAGCTGCTTCATTCGCCTGATGATCAAGGAGTGACGCCCCTCAAGCATTCAGCGGTGTCACTGTCAGGGTCTCTGAAAAGCCGAATTTGATAATTACTATATGCAAGCACCTTCACATACCAATATAGCGTAACCTATATGATTTGCGACACAATCAAACACGGTTAATTTCCAAATCAATACATACTAAACTAATGGAAAGACCTTAAACAACCGTCAGCTGAACCTAACCGGGCCTTACATTTATTACACAAAGTGTAATAAATGTAAGGCCCGGTTATAGCGCGCCCGACAAACCTCAATTCGCAGCATTGAGCCTTGGAAGAAAGGGGAACTCGGTATACAGTAGATCGTTACCATTCAGAGTTAGCCTAATAGAGGGATGGTCCTAATGCCACATGACTGTCAGTTGACGGCTACTTTATCCGTCCAATCGGATCAACTGCAGGGTCAACCCCACCGTTAACCCCCTTGCTTGTAGATCATGAGATATGTCTTTCCTAGAGCAGGTTAGCGGCATTAAGAACAATTTAGCATAGTCCGCTAGGTCTCATACACGACTAGGAGTCAGAACACGAACACGGCCCAGCCATTCATTGGCGGGAAGTAAAGGGAACAGCATCCGTGCCAAGCTGCGGGCTAGAACAACAAGCTATCAGCGGGCAACCTTCCGCACTACGGGACTTGCCAAAGCTATGAGAATGTCAATCATATCGTGAAGGACAGAACTTGTAGTAGTTCATAGAAATACGGAAATACGGTCATAGGGAGTGGTTGAGAGATAAACTTACAACATTGTTACCCTAGAGTCTAGCGACCAAAAGCCCCAGGTAAGTTATGCGTACTTCCATTTGCAGCTAAACATGCGTAGCAGCCTTCATTTCAATATTTGGGGATACCATCCCTTTTGCTGTCCCTGACGTCGTCTTTTTTCTTTTTCTTTTTTTTGGGGGCAGGGAGTTCTCTCTCTTTCTCTATAGGGTTTCAAGTAATGCCCCCCAAAGGATCAAGGGTTATTGATCCCTCAGTGAAACAAAACAAAGGTATGTAGGAAGCGAGTGATTTAATTTTACAAAAGTACTCTAGTTAATATTTAACGCTTCTGTTTTCATTCCTTTTACCAGTACGTTGCGTTATTTTCTGTTCTGGTGCTGCAGCAAGAGACCGAGCGAGGATGGCCACCGACACCAACAGCACTCAGGGTTTCACAGATCCGCGGATCTTTGCGTCATTTGATTGCATAGACAATGCTCCGTGCACTCGTTGGACTGATTGGGCGGACAACTTGGCGAGTGAAACTGTCAACAGTCTTAGCTCTAGTCTATCTCAAAGTACAGCAAACGGTTTCCCTTGGATTGGTACTTCAGGAAACAACAAGCAGCAGTCTAACTTGAAGCTTCCTATCCCTCGGATATCGCGTCATATCGACTGGAACAGCGGCGGTAGGGTCAGGCTGGCCTGCGAAAACTGCCGAGAACAAAAAGCTAAATGCAGTGGCCATCGTCCAACCTGCCATAAATGCCAGGCCAGCGGCCTCCGCTGCAGTTATGGGGACCGAAAACGAGAGAGAACCGAGAAGTGAGTGGCTTAAACCTTGGATGCTAGAATTCTTCTGATGGTCGAATTAGACGATTGAATGATCTGAGCGCAGAAGTCCAAGCTTTGAGGACTCTTTTGCATGAGTTATATCCCAAACTCGACGTTCTATCTGCCCAACATGTTGATCAAAACCTCCGCAAAGTACGTTGTAAGCTTCATGAAATATAATCATCCGTACCCTTAGGTGGTTTCGACATTCCTTTCTCATATGACTAACATTTACTAGGTTTCAAGCCATTCACGTATCCCGTCAAAGATATCTTCCGAAATTGCAACCCGCGGTGTGACGAAAGCTCCATGGAGAACCAATGATTTCACTTGCGAAGATTTCAATTTTCATAAAGGCCCACAGTCATTGGGCTTCATCGGTGAACACTCGGAGGTGTCGTGGCTACACAGGCTCAAATGCATCCTCGAAAAGAGAAAAGCCGCATTGACTTTCGAAAGACCCTTGGAGCCGCCTTCAGTGACATCCGTAAACTATTATTATAATGATCCTACCATGGACATTCGTGAGGAAATCGCATGGTTAAGCCGACCACCGCAAAATATTGCCATACAGCTTCTTGATACCTACTTCGAAACATTCCATCCTTCATTTCCAATTATCGGAAAAGTGGTATTTCTCGCCCAGTTTAGAACATTTTATTCTATCCGCGATGTGCGACCTGGGAAACAGTGGTTTGCTGTGTTGAATCTGATTTTTGCAGTTGCTGCAAGACATTTGGAGCATACGAAACCGTCTCTTCTTAGCGACGAATCGTACGCACAATTCTTTTCACGGGCATGGAGATTGAGCATGGACAAGGATTCACTCCGCAATCACCCAAACCTGCAGCAAGTTCAAGTTGAAGGCTTGTCAGCCTTTTACCTTCTTGCCAGTGGGCATATTAACAGGTTAGTATTCATAAGTTCTCTTTTGCTAATTCTTCTAATCGTTTACTTGATCCTATGATAACATTTTTGGCCTTAGTTCATGGAAGATATGCAATGTCGCGATCAGTTCAGCTGTTACAATGGGGCTACATCTTCGAAATGAAAGCCAACATATCAGTCTTGTTTCAAAAGAAACTCGACATCGAATGTGGTGGTCTTTATACACACTGGATACTCTGCTTTCCACGATCACCGGGCGCCCAGCGTGCATAGATGGGAATTTCTGCACAGCGAAGCTCCCATTGCCCTATGACGAGGAAGGATTTCAAAATCAAAGCGTTGACCAGCTTAGCTCGGACCAGGGATCACAAAATTGTCTGACACAGGATTCTCCCTCCAAAGAAAGCAACGACTCCAGTGGACAGGTGCACTTGTTACTCATGAATACCAACAAAGAAGCCGAAACGGAGCAAGAATATCCTATCCTGGATGTAGCACCAGCATCTCCCAACGCTCTATACTTTCTTTGTACAGTGAACCTCACGAGTGTTATACGAGAAGCCATTGAAACTATTTACGCCCCAAGAGCCGCATGCAAGCCGTGGCATGAAATTGACAAGGCAATCTTCTCATTGGAAAACAAGGCAAATTCATGGCTTCAATCGCTTCCAGAAGCCTTTCAGATCGAGGTAAAGGAGGAAACTATACCATTGAACCGCCAACGCACTAGCCTCGCCTTTCTCTTTTACTCGACCAAAATCTTGATACACCAACCCTGTCTTCTCCAGTTAATTTCCAAACCGTCTAGAGAGTTTGGAACATGTGTTCGAGTGCGTGCTTCTATGGCAATTCAGGCCGCAGAGAAATTGGTCCACTTATTCCCTGAGGAGCCGGATTTAACGTGGTTCTACGATCTATGTCCTTGGTGGTGTGCCCTCCACTATGTCATGCAGGCTGTCGCAGTTACCTTTACAGCCATTTACGTCTTTCCCAAGCGGGGCATCAATATCTCACCCACCACATCGGGCAATGTCAATAAGGTCATACGTTGGTTGCAGAGCATGTCTTCTGTGAGCCCTTCGGCACACCAGGCCTTACGTGTGTGTTTGGATTTCATCACGCATTATAAGTCAGAATTACGCCCAACTGCCAATATTGAACATTGACCCTTGTGGAGGTGAAACACCATTTATCCATTTAGTTTGCATCTCAGACCGGTGCTCCTCGGTTATTCGGGGGTGTGAAATTCATCTTTGCCAGTAGCAACCTACTCCCGACATCCCTGCCTGTCTGAGGGCAAAGTGGGATTCTTATGATAGGAATTTTTCATAGAGTAATATTGTGTAGCATATATAAAAAAAAAATATATATACTGTGTAGTACTGGAGACAATTAAAAATATTCTCACTCCAATTCTGGAACAACGTGCTGGTCACAAAAAGTATGAATATTATCAAACCTAAGTCCCCCACTCAGAGGGACTGCTGGTACCCTTGAGCTGGATTTTTACGTTTACGTAAATATTGTTTGAAACTGAAATTGTGACGCTACTCCGGAAATAGTGATAGGAAGATAGGTAAGGGTTCGGAATCATTAGCTATCAGCATCTTCATGGTGATAAAGTGACCGGCTTCGGCCGATGTAACATGATGATCGAAAATGATAGACTATACAGAGTAGTATATACTCGTGCAAGCATATTACAAAAACATAACGTGCGATAGTCCAGGGATCACTCGAGCAAACGTTGGAAGGTGAGCCGCCAATTAAAAGGCCGGTTTTGAAAATAGAATTTCTATCCGAAGAGCTGTCCACATTAGTTGGCGCCATACCGGATTCGGCTTGGTTTACCCTAATGAAAGTTCGAAGATTTGATTGGCGGGTGCTCTGAGCTCAAGAATCATTTCTGGAATTCAACAAGAACATTTTACGCCATATGGGCGAGAGCATTGCTCCCCCTTCGTTTGGGAGTCATGGTATTGCTAATGGTGGTTTAATGTTCCATATTCCTCCTTGCATGTGAAAGATATTGAGATATTACCGAACTTGTATGAAAGAGACACTCAAATTTGCGCCTTTTTTTTACTAGGGGCTAAGCCTATACAAATAAGAAGAATTCTGTTAGAAGGCTCGCATGCTCACCGATCAAGGCGATCCTGATAAATTTCTGCAATGAGAATTCTACGTCTGATATACCTCTTTACTCCCGCTTTCAACGGTCGCTCTGTCCAAATCCAGATTTCAGAATTTCTCCAGGTGTCAGATGACATCATGATGAATTATTCTGCGGTTAAAGCGTTGGTGGGGACTTTGTGGTCGTCCCGCACCTGGCAACTCTCACTGTTGCATGCACAGCATCCAATTGTCTCTCAATATTGGCACATGACGGAAGAGCATTCTTTGAATCTATAGTTGTGTGAGTGCCCTTACTGTTATCCCAAGACTGATAGGTCTCCCTTGAGGGAAATTCCTACAGCCATGGTCTAAGTTAAGTCATGCAAGCACCTTCTGTGTGAAAGGGGAGAGAGGTGGGCGGGCAGGGGTTTGATAAATCGCCAACTCAATCCCTTTGGGTAAATAGGTCATATTGCTAGCTCAGCGGGTACATTCTGTCTGCATTCATTGTAAAAATATGTGTCACTTAATCAGGGGATTCGGGCTAAGAATTTTGCACCGTAGTGATTGTTAGATCGTAAACTGTAGCGTTCGAAACCACATGAGCGACATGGTCATAAGCATGTGTGTCAGAGTCCACCGCATTCTCTAGAGAGATAGCTCCAGGTGTTTCTCGTTCCTTATGCATGTAGATCTACTCTTACCCCTTCCAAATCCCACGCTCGCTTACTATCAGACCTGCTCATTGGAAGGACTTTTAGGCCAATAGCAAGGTCTGGAATTCCCATTCGCAGGCCAAGGTTATTCCAGGAACATTAACGCCACATGGCCTGCTAATTGGACGGGGCTTTTCGGACAATAGCAAAGGGTTTAGCATTCTCGGTTAACGAGTCAAAGTAATTCCAGGTATGTTCAACGCCACATGGTCTGCTCATTGGACGGGATTTTCAGCCAATGAGCAAAAGCAACAACCTAACAAGCTAAATCAGGCCTTTATCTCATCTGAGACGAGAAAGGTCTCCGTCAGTATGTTGATTGTCTCTGGCTATACATTTCAAGACAAGCCTCGTGATCTGCGCCTCTACATTTCTTGAAAAAATCCACGCAGCATGACACTAGCAATATACCCTAGCAAATGACATGTATTGTTCAAAGTAAAGTCACATCATTCCTCATCTTATCAAAAACTCACCTAAGATTTAGTAAGACACACGATATTTTAGGCACGAGACACCATGCCAGCAATAATTTGTTTAGCCGAGTTCTTCAAGATGGTTATGCTAAAGCATATTCCCCTGAGTCCTCAGGAGGACGTACTTTGATACCGTATTCATGAGAGGGAGATATAGAAATAGCAAAAAGTCGTAAGAGCCTACCCCTTCTGATCGCCCAACATTGCTGATGGGCGAACCCCCGCAACGGAAGCATTCCCGTATGGAATCACGTTTCGAACGTGTAGACTTATTCTTGTTGTTTCCTCTAGTCGAATTCATGGCTGATAGATCCATAGCATCAGAATCAACGCTCTCTCGTACACGGGAACCCTCTTCGAGTTCCGCAAGGCGTGTGCCTGAAGTCCGTTCGGTTTATCACGCTTTTCCGTCCATCGTCCGAGAAGTGCTTTGGGAATTGTGTTGAGTATATCCTGAGGAAACATGTACTCAGGCGGAGGCGCTGGCTCTAGCACAGACGCAGCATCTTGCAGCTTAATTGCATAATCACGAAGGCATTCTTTGCCTTGTACGAGATTTCTATACCTTTTCCAACGTCTCTGCTCACTGAAGTTTTCACCGAAAAGACTATAAATCCAGGATTTGAATTCCGGCCAAGTGTCAGTACGGACGACATTTAACGCTGGATTGAGAGCAGAAACAGTATGGGTACGCCAAGATCATGCGGCTTTTCCCACTAGTCGACTCTCGGCAGAATCAACCCTTTCGGCGTCCGGAATAGGCTCAGGACTTCTTCTTTGGAGCTTTTCGAAACAATTCTCGCAATCACGAATCCAGCGTCTCGCGGCGTCATTGGCCACTGCTCTTCTCATGGGACTAACATTTACTAGGTTTGAAGCCATTCACGTATCCCGTCAAAGATATCTTCCGAAATTGCAACCCGCGGTGTGACGAAAGCTCCATGGAGAACCAATGATTTCACTGGCGAAGATTTCAATTTTCATAAAGGCCCACAGTCATTGGGCTTCATCGGTGAGCACTCGGAGGTGTCGTGGCTACACAGGCTCAAATGCATCCTCGAAAAGAGAAAAGCCGCATTGACTTTCGAAAGACCCTTGGAGCCGCCTTCAGTGACATCCGCAAACTATTATTATAATGATCCTACCATGGACATTCGTGAGGAAATCGCGCTGAAAAGGACGGTAGCCTACGCCTTTACGTCGGCTACCGAGGGCCCTATTTCATTGAACCGTTGTCTATCTACCCTCGGTCCGAAATAGAACTCCGGGAACTCTGGCGATATATTGTACGAACCCTATACTGCACCTATCCGCTTCGCGCTGAAAAAGACGGTAGCCTACGCCTTTACGTCGACTACCGAGGGCCCTATTTCATTGAACCGTTTATTATAGGCCGAAGTTGCTTTTAGAGAAGTGGTCTATAACCTCAAATAACACGCTAATCCTGCAGGAATTATATTTCACCTTCTGAGTACAAGTCATAAAGTGGACGAGCAGCTCTGCACTGTCTCACAGCGTTAGATCCGTCGATTAATTCAGTGCCATCGGGTTTCCGTAGGGGTTTTTCAATTGTGCCATCGGCAAAACATAGGATGGTCTATTGATCATTGGTTTAGCCAGACATCAGACTAACAGAGTATAAGAAAGTAAGACTGTCACCTACCTTCGCTAAGTAATCCATGCAATGCGGCCAGTGGTCATCATCATGCCAGTCAGTGCCTATATTCTTACCCTCGCTGGCAGCTTGGAGGGCTTTGCGCATCATTGTAAGACAGTGTAACTGGTGGAACCTGCAGGCCAGGTCATTAGTGCTCTGACTTGGAACACCGACTTGCCTATCGCATAGGTCATGGATGGCACGACTTACATGCTGATAGCTCCTTTCTGCTTATGCTCCTTGTTGACTCCATCGCCCGATATATATATTATGCCACCATCAGTCTTGTTAAGTGAAAGTGCTGCCCACATATCGTCATACGCATGATCAAGGCTCTGGAAAGCTTTATCTTGCGCGAATGACGAATGCACTGTGGTGTCATCATTGTGTATAGCAACACGTGCCCCCCTACCAAGCTGTGCAATTGATAGAGGCAGAATTGACAAGTTTAGGAGGAGGATTATAAAGAGTAGTGTAATTTTAGTGCGAGGATTCTGGAGAATATTTCCAGTGCATCCTGAATAGTTGTGCACTTGGTAACTAGGTTCTGGCTCTGATGTCTTTTCATAAGAGGACTCTTGCGATAGGAGATGGTAATCCATGTTGATCAGTAGGATAGAAGAGGGATGAATACTGACTGGCTGACATGGCGGCACCAAGCCTGATATAATTTATGCGTAAAAGAAAGTGAAGAAATCAACAAGCGTATCATTACAGGGAAACATATTCAGAGCTAGGATTCTTTGGTAAATGCAGGGGTCATATAGGGGCATTTTGACAAGAATCTGGAAATGGGACGTTAGCACCTACGCATTCTTATTGCTGATATGTAGGGCTAGGTTCCGTAGACGATTCACGCTATCCCTGATAAGTACGTTGTATGTCCAGTTTAGCTTATGTCAGTGGAAATTTACCATAACATCTCAGGTGCTTTCGCACATGTAGTGAATATCTACTGACTCTGGCTCGTAGTGGGTCACCCAGAGACTAATTCGGCATATGTATTGTATACATTAACTAAAATGATCAATGGTTTTGCTAACTGATTGTTAGAACTACAAACTTACTGGCTTCAGTTAACCGCTTGACTAGGGTTGTTGCACCTAAGATTAGTCGTAAAGCACTCCCTAAGTGCACGTTCCGTAAGGGGTATAGGACACTACATTTTGAGAGCGTCATAAAATTTCGTCTGTTATACCCCT